CCCCCAAAACCCCATGAAAAAAAAAAATAGCAGATCACTATTTTCTCTGCTGATTCGTTGAGATCTCGACAAGCGCAATCCAACCCTATCATCAAAAAATAATAATAATAAAAAATTGACCCAGTTTTGGGCCCAACCGGATTTCCGGTTGGACCGCCAGGGTTCCAACCGGCCCGGTTGGGTCCGGTCCGGGTTGGGTCCAGTCCGGTTAAACTGGCCGGTGGCCGGTGCAGCCCGGCCAATTTGGCAATTTCACAAAAAAAAAAGAAAAAAAAAAAGAAGGGTGTCAGGTCAGGAAAAGCAAAGAGAGGGGAAGGAGAAAGCAAAGGATAACAGAGGGAAAGATGAAGGCGAGCAGGAAAAAGGAGAAGAAGAGAGAGGGACAAAAGCTATGGCTGACAGACACACACAGAGGAATGAAATGGGAGGGTGTCTCGAGGATACCTCCACTGTTCCAACTCCATAGAAGAGAATCAGATACAGTGTTTCAAAGATGATCGGTGAGTCGATGACACGATAATTGTAGAGCTCACCAAGGAAGCGCATTTGAGCAATCCTGCGCTGCTGCTGACCATACTCGTTGCTTTCCAAACCGACCCGAATATCTTCTAGAACCTGCCGTGTCGGCAACAATACATGGAGCCAAGACCAACATGTTCCATATCAACAAAGTGTCCGCGTGGCCAACTGTGTGGGCATGGAATCTCAAGAGTAAAGACTATACACATAGCAAAAGCCTAAGACACACCCAGGAAAGCAAAATGTAGCAGAAAATAGCATGAAAACTATAGCGTCGACGTACCCTCCAAAGCAACAAGTAGCAGAAAATAGTAAAAAATACCCAGAAAATAGCCCCTAAACACACCCAGAAAAGCAACATATAGCAGACATCCCTATAAAGTGATAAGCATGAATGGATGGAGAGGGATTTGAACCCCTGATCTTTTGTAATGTGTCAGTTTTCAAGACTGATACCTTCAAGGCTTCAACCACTCAGACATCCATCCAAAGCAAAGACACCCCTTGTAAGTAGACAATGGATAGTGAGCAACTGTTATCGCCATCATTTCTATTTATTTATTTTTTTCTGCTTAAAAACAAACAAACAGAAGTAATCGCCATCATCTTGGTCTGAGGGTGGGTGTACCAACTGAGCTGGGCCCGTCGCCTTCCATCATTGACTAAAACCAACATTTCTCCTCTGTGAGGTCATGATCGTCAGCCTATTCACCTGGTCCAGATGATGACCCGATCCCTTTGTACCGGGTCCATTTCCATATAACAACCTGACTGCATGCTTCCTGTAAAACAGGGAATGGGGGAAAATGACAATGAAGGGAAAACAGTGCTAAAAATAACTCATCTGTCATCTCCTTATCCCGATGAACCAAAATCCCTCTTGACCGAGTTCATCTCCACATCATCAAGAAAGTTGTTCGAGAGATACGAACAACCTTAAGTTCAAAGACTCCAAGACCCTACCGTCTTCCCCCAAACACGGCGCACCCTCATCATGACTGCATAGGACCAGAAAGCTAGCTTCTATACATTTATGATGAGGGTATAGCTTGTATACATTTACGATGAGAGTACGGTGGGAAGCTACAGGGACAGAAGAAATCTCGAGTACTATCTGGCTGTAGAATTCAGGTGATGGGTGAGACAAAAAGTAAAAGGATAGACATTCAGACTTCAAACTTCAAACAAGCTCACATGACTTCAAATTAGCCACATCACCTGGTCAATAACATTGACGCTGATAGAATCTTGATATCTGCTAAGTCCCGCGATAAGCGACGCCAGCAGATAGATATGGCTGTACTTCATTTTGTAGACCTTGAGCATGCATTTGAGGATGTAGCCCTTGCCTTCACCCCATGGTAATTTTCGCATTTGCCGCAACACCTTCTCAATTGTATTCCGCTCGAGATCGACAAACAGAAGCTTACGAATGTACTGCACAGAGACATCACCGACAAACAAAAAATCAGTGTCGCCCAGGTCATGAGACAGTGAGGGGTACTACTAAGGACTGATGACCATCCCTTTAACATTCTTGGCTTTTGGAAGTCTTTTTGCCGAGATTGCGCACTTAACAGACATTTGCTTCCTACAGCGACGTTGAAAATTGTATGTGCTCTTGTCTAACGAAGACACAAGCAAGTAAATAGGTACAAACGCGGGAAATGAGCTATCGAAGCAGGCTGCCACTCAAGTCGATCAAAGAAGGAAGACAACAATGGCAACAAAAGATCACTTTTAAAAACCAGGGTTAGCGAACAGTTGGATGGGACGACTAAGAGACGCATGAAGCCATATGATAAGCTGAGAGTAGATCCAAGAAATAGCATAATAGAGTGCGCACATATCCGGGGACACACAAAGACGCTTCAGAAACATGGACATGTGGACGCATGCAGGAGGCAATGGACGGGCAGCAAACAGTTGGATGGGACGACTAAGAGACAAAAGAAGCCATAAGATAAGATGAGAGTAGATCCAAGAAATAGCACAATAGAGCGCGTGGCACATATCCTGTCTCTTATACACATCTAGATGTGTATAAGAGACAGGCAAACAGTTGGATGGGACGACTAAGAGACAAAAGAAGCCATAAGATAAGATGAGAGTAGATCCAAGAAATAGCACAATAGAGCGCGTGGCACATATCTGGGGACACACAAAGACGCTTCAGAAACATGGACATGTGGACACATGCAGGAGGCAATGGGATGGACTCACAGACAAATACAGAGACGGACAAGATGGAAATCTGTATGGAACAATGCATCCAGGCTGAATGAGTAGCGATGTTATCCCCTGCTAATAATAAATAGCAGACGGGTCTGCTTGCGTATTACGGACAAATAGCATGATGGAGAGCGCACCCATCTAGGGACACAAAATGCTGCCCCCCAGAGGGACACATGCGGATGCATGCACAAAGCAACAAATTGACTCACAGACAAATACAGAGGAGGTTAAGATGGAAGTACATATGGTGGTTAATGCATCCAGGCTGAATGTGTAGAAATGAGATCCACTGCTTGTAGTTATTAAGCGGGGGTGTCTGAGTACTACCCTTATGCTAATATGCGGACTTCACCTGAGGCTGGGCGTGTTGCCCTTGCGTTAAATAATAGACTTGTGGGGCCTGGCCACCACAGAGACTGGGTTGACCTTGCTCGTCCATGATTATACCGCAGTGCAGCAGGAAGAAACAGCAATAAAGATGATAGTAAATAGAAAAGAATACACACAGTGAAAACATGAACTGCAAGGACATACGCAGGGCAAATCCGCACAACATCACTTGTGACAATCCTCCATTTTAATACCTGATGAAGAGGTGGGCGGACTTTCTTCACACGAGCTGATCTCTCCGGTGGCTTGCACTGATAATATGCATTCTCCACCATTGTGCTTTGGCGTACGTCCAGGTTCTTCGCATTCTTTAATCTCATCATGATTTCCAACATGTTGCTCATTCGCATCGTGGTCTCCGGAGATCTGTACAGATACCGCCCGCATGTCTCCAGAAGATTGCACGCAATGTCGATGTTGTGATGGGTGAAATCTTCGAGGCAAGCCTGCGCACCAAATGGGACAAAAAGTTCACAAACTAGAATAAGTGCCCAGTGTTTTTTCTCTGTAGATTCTCTAAAATCCATGGAAACTGGTCCGTAAACTGTTCTCTTGCCAACAAGCCAGACAGGCACCTTTGAGTCTAAACCGGGGAGACGTCATCACCAGGGAGATGTCATCATCCTACTTTCCACCCCTCCCTCCTCCACCTTCTCCTCATCTTCCGCTTTTCCGTCTAGTGCACGACACACACATACAACTCTGAACCGTTGACTGGTTCCACAGAAGAGCTGGACCTACTTTTTTGCATCCTCACAGGACTCTGCTGCAGAGGTACAAATCACATGTTTCAAGTTTCAAAGCAACTAGCAACAGGTATTCCCCGTGTGCGGAACGGTAGCTGAAGGGAAACATATGAGCATCAACAAACTACAGCATCAACAAACTCTTTTTCAGTGCTGAGTTATCTTTCGTAGAGGGTATCAGCCGCGTACATGTTACCAATTCACCCTCCCTATTAGCAGCACCAAAAAGTTGCAAACACATACGAGAAGGTTTTTCTCCAAAAACTTTTCTGAAGTCGTCACCGGGGAGAGGGAGTGTTACATCTTTGACGCCACACGGGTCCTACCGGACCCGACGTAGGGGTAGAGGGACACAGTAGGGCCAAAGGCCCGACGTTGGGGGTACTACAGGCCGTAAAGGCCTTACCTTGGACCAGACCCGACGGGCCGGCCCAAACGATATTACCGTTTGGGCCTGGCGGCGCTCTTGAGGCTTCCGCCCGCCGGTTGGGGCTGAACCGTCCATCTGGACGGTTCAGGGCACGGTCAGGCCTCGCAGCATAGGGGCCGACCTCTGCCCACCGGTACAAAAGTACCGGTCCAGCCKCAGTGAGGCTATCGACCTACCGGCATTCTACCGGTACGGTATGGTACAGCGCGATACAGCGCTGGCGCTAAGTTTAGCGCAGGAGCAGCAAGGAGCAGCAGCGCAACATTAGCGCAGCAGCAGCGGCGACTGAGTGTACCAGCGGCCATCGCCGCCTGAGGTATCGGGAGTTGGAGGCCTCTCTCCTCCCTCCCCTCGCCAGTCCCCTCTCTCTCTTTCTCTCCTCCTCGGCTCCTTCTTCTTCTTCTTCTTCTTCTTCTTCTTCTTCTTCTTCTTCTCTTCAGACTCCATCTTCTTCTTCTTCTTCTTCTTCTTCTTCTTCTTCTTCTTCAGATTGGAGACTTATACTAGTGGACAGAGATCAGTGTTGGACTTCGGTGGTATGAGACTGTGGTACTTACCGGATTGGAGACTTGGAGATTGTTGGGGTTGATACTTGGCGGCATCACAGTTCGGACACCGGTTACATTTGGACTCTGTATCTCCGACATTGGTTACTGATTGTCCTCGACATTTTGATCTTGTTAGATGACATTTTGGACTACCATATCAGTGACCTATCAGATCCTATCTCGGTGACCTACCGGTGCTGTCTACCTCCCCCGCCTCCTTCGTCTCTCCTCCCACCTTTCATCTGTGTATGTGTGTACGGGATCTGGGCATCGTCCATGCTTGGCCCAGACCCCACCATCTCACGATTGTATGTGTGTGGAGTGATTCTATGAGTCAGTCTATGTGAGTCAGTCTATGTGAGTCAGTCCGTTTATCAGACTTCCGCTGCATATATGCTCATCCTATATTGGTTGATCTTCGGTTCTGCCCATACTCATTGAAGTATGTAACAGGGAGCCACCTCTCTCAGCAACATACAGTAGCCAGGAAAAATGCAATGAACCCAGATCGTGAAGACACTTGTCAACCATGCAAGCCCAGATGAATGTGAACCCGCTGATAATTATCAATAATCAGAATTGTGTCCATATAGAATAAGATGGGATAATCATACACAGACGAAGGAGAGAGGAGGGAGATTGGACAAAGGAGAGGAATAAATAACAAGGCCCGCTCCTGCTTCCGGCTCCCTCCTCGATCACCACCTCAGATAATCAATAGTCTGAACACACATCTAAAGTTCTATTCCAGTGTGCCACGTGGCACGCCGATCAGACCCTCATCAGCGTACTTGAGCAATGTCGACCTCAAGATCACCAGGTATGTGTCCACAATCATCCCACAGTCATGATCTCCTCCCGAGTGACGATGAATCAGAACAGCAATGCCGGTCACGTAGCTCAGCCACGTCAGAAGATAAAACACATGGCAGCGGCCACATCAGCATGCCCTGAAGACAATAGCCAGCCAGCCACCATGCCGAGCCAGCAGTGCGTCGCCGTAGTCACCCACGTGCCAGCACAAAGCCAGCGTCCAACCAGCGTCGCAGCGTCGAGCCAGTGTTGCGACGCGTGAAGTCAGCATTGACGCAATACTGAATGCCCGCCAAAGGCAGCGAGTCAGCGCTTATGTAGCGTTGACGCGGGGTCTGGACCCCGGATACTGGAATCCTCAGCCATTGACATGTCAACGCAGATGACGGCCCAGATTACCCTGAAACCGAATCTCCCCTGCCCTCCATGCTGTCTGGGTACCTGCGCACAACAAGTGTGTGTATCTGACCAGGGCCTGGACGGGGTACCTTTGACCTGACAGTTGACATAGACCTTTGACTTTCCAAGCAGCGCGTGGTCTCACTGCTTGGCGCAGGCCGAGTTTGGCCTGCATCGTCTGGGCCTTGCTTTGAGGGCCCAGACCGGCTGCAGAACACAGGTTACTACAAAGAGAAGGGGGGGGAGAGTGCAATCATGAAAGGTGAAGAGGGTGAAACTGCAAGCATGGGTGGAAAGGGTGAGGCAAAGGGGACGTGGGGGAGAGGGGGGGGGGGGGGGGGGAGGGGGAGGTAGAGTTTGTGTTACCAGAAAATCCCCAAATCAACCGCGACCCAGCAGTAACATATGGACAGAAGGGTAATCAGAGTGAAAGACAGGCCACGCCTCTGTAGCTGAGCACCTGATGCCCACAGATGTACAAAGTACTACAAACCCATCTGGGTAAAGCACAATTGCACCCGAGACACAAACAGACAAAAAAAGAAACCTGCATCTGTCTAACACAAGAAACAGCCTCTATCACCAAATATGATCTAAGGAGGTCTCAAACCCGTTGGCTCCGACGTTCCTGCAAATCGCAGTTCATAGATGAACCTCATCAACGGCACCTTTGTGCAACACAGGAATATGCAGTCATAAACACAAACAGCACACCAAAACCGACACATGGCACCCGAAACATTACCGGCAAGAGCAACCTGGCCACCTTTTCAATGTGTTCCAGTGTTGCACACTCCGACCGTCGGCGACCCTTTACTGGTTGGCTGCCGCCCCACCGACCGTTCGGCTGGTCGGCACCTACTGGTCGGGGTTCGTCGGC